TTTAATCCCCGCGAACACGCAGGTGCTAGTCCAAATGGTCGTGCCATTCCATTACCGCGCATGTGCAGAAATCTGATTCTCTCGTGCGTATTCTAAAATGTAAGTCCAGTTGCAGTGGTTGCAGGGTCATATTGGCTTCCCCTTTATAGCACAATGTTTTCTTATAGGTTAATTCCTATATTAAGTAATTCGATTTGTGTACAGTTTTCATCTTAATTTGAATTTTTCTTTTTGGTTTTGGTAAGATTTTCTTTATTGAAGGTATATTACTTATTTTTCTGTATCTATCAATCTCTATTTGTTTAGGAGAGATTTTCTTTGTTAAGGATAAAAAGAAATCTTATGCAGTTATGGATTCAGATCCCTCTGCTCTCGGAAAAAAGGTCACACTATAAGAGACCTAGGTAAGCCATTCTATTTTTTCTGTCATACTAAACAAAAGAGTGCCTATCAATAATTGGAATTCCCTACGATGATAGCTCTACGGGAAGAAAATAATCCGGATCATACAAGGGAAGTCACACTAAAGAATTGTTTGTGAGGCATATGATAAGAGATCCTTGTAAAAGTAAAGTCTCTGTACAGACTGTCTGAAAGTGGGTACAGGCCCTTCTACCCATGCCCTGTGTATTACACAATATTAACAGGAGGTATCTCAAGACGTCATAGAAACTGTTAAAGCTTGAATCCTCTGGACAATTCCCAGAATGAATACTCTTAGGAATCCTGGGAGATGGATGCATTCAGAGATATGAAATCATAGGATGAGGATATTCAGCCTATTTCAGTAGTTCCAGAATCCGCTCATTTGATTTCCAGAGTCCTTTTACCTCTAGCCTTTCTTTTTGGATGTCAGAGGATGTAGAGTATCTTTTCCAGTTCCCGGTCCCCTTAAGATCCTTAATGGAGGAATGGTTCTACACTGAAAGAGGTTTTCAACACAAGGGAGTATCTCAGTCTTCATCCATTGGAATTTCAGACACTAGTACCTGGGACTCTGCTCCTAAGTAGTAGATGCAGTCCTTAGACTGGCTAAATGTTCCTCTCTGCATGTAAACAATGCGGGATCTCTCTGAAACTCCATGGAGTATACATGGTTCTGCTTCTCTCTAAAGCCTATGTGGCAGCTGACACAGGCTTTCATCTTGCTGTAAGGTTTTACCTCAATCTCTAAGGATCTAAGATTGGTATGGATAAATTGGAAGAGCATATCAGAGATACATTTCCTTTGTCTCTTGACAATTTACAAGTCATTAATTCGGGAATAGTCTTCAGATAAGAAGCCTACATAGGTTGCATTAAATTCTAGCCAGAAATATGACTTTCTTTGTGTCTATTAGCTGGGCTCTTTGGCTTAATACCTGGTCCACGGATGCATCCTCCTATTTTAATGGATCAAGAGAACGGCAGAGGGCAGGAAAGCTTGTCTACTTCAAGACCTAAGGTTCAGGAGACCCTTTCTATATAAAGATTCTCATTAACTTCCTTCTCAGACCAAGGTATTTCACACCAGGAAGAGAGTGTGGTAGATCTCAACCTTGATGTAACTGGTCATTATTCTACCAGAGGAAGAGAAAAGGTAAAAAGAGATGCTTTGTAAATCTCATGGCTTCCCTTCAATTAGAGGAAGCTATTGTGAGAATTTTTTAAAACTCAACTAGAACACAAAGAATCTCTTTTTAACAGTGTTGGAGATCCATTCTAATTTACAGGATTCCTGAACATTCTTATTTATAAAGGTAGTATTCCTGGTACATTGGATGATGTCTATAGATTTGCAGGATGCTTATTGCCATGTATCCTTTGGCTCACATCACTTTTATTTTTACATCTTCATGGTAAAAGATGAATGTCTGCTGTAGTCACCTTGCTCCCTCCCAGTTCAGGGTATAGCTGGGAATACAGTTCGACATGGTCCAAGGCACAGTACAGCTGTTTTTAGACTAGCATATTACCCCAGGAGAGAGAGTTTTGATCCAGGTCCTCCACCATAGATCTGATAAGATGTCACAAGGGCAGAGTTTTACTTACCTATGGAAATCCTTTGTACAGTGATAACTATGAATACCATCCACTGGGGTTGAGGAACTTTTCTCAAAATTCAAATATGTTCAGGAAAGGGACACCTTTAACATCAAACATTTCTCTTCTGCATAGGTTGCAAGAGCCAATATCAATCATCCTACAGTTCCATATTAATACCCAGTCCACGGTTTCTACTTCTACTTATCTTCTTCAGTACCTCCATGAAATCTCCCACAATAGTTCTTCTCTCTTCCATCAGGTCCAGTGCTACTTTCCTCATTCTGAAGGTTTCGATAATGTAGAAGGGCTTAAATATAAGAGTTTTTGAACTACCAAGAAGGTTCTAAGTTCTTCAATCCAGGACTTATCTAGGAATTGGCCACATCACCTCAGAGATATATGTCTCAGCACTCTCTGATCTCTCTTTTCGTGAAAGGTCTTTAATATGGAAGTATCTAAATTTCTGTCGGTTGTATTTATATGATCCCACGGTTATCTATTGCTCTCCGTGGAATTCTTTCCTGTTTTTTTTAGGGCTCTGAAATCTTTACCCCTTTTAACCATGAGAGTATATCTCTCCACAATTGCTTAATATTAAGTAAGCTCTATCGGTGACATTGGCATGTACTGAAGGATATTAGATCCTCAAGCACTATTTTGCATAGAATGTAGAGTCCATAATAAAACTTTCTCCTCCTGTCCCAGATAGATGCCTTTTATAGATCCGCTTTCTGGATTTCTTCTGTTTATCTTTACTAATAGACCATAAAGATCTTCAAGCCTCTATATAAGCCAACAGCAGATGGATTTTCTATGGATATTGATACCTTAGAGAGGGTTCAGAGAAGGGCTACTAAACTGGTTCATGGATTGAGGGATAAAACTTACCAGGAAAGGTTAAAGGATCTTAACATGTATAGCTTGGAGGAAAAACAAGACGGGGGGATATGATTGATAGAAACATTTAAATATATAAAGGGAATCAACACAGTAAAGGAGGAGACTATATTTAAAAGAAGAAAAACTACCACAACAAGAGGACATAGTCTTAAATTAGAGGGACAAAGGTTTAAAAATAATATCAGGAAGTATTACTTTACTGAGAGGGTAGTGGATGCATGGAATAGCCTTCCAGCTGAAGTCGTAGAGGTTAACACAGTAAAGGAGTTTAAGCATGCGTGGGATAGGTATAAGGCTATCCTAACTATAAGATAAGGCTAGGGACTAATGAAAGTATTTAGAAAATTGGGCAGACTAGACGGGCCGAATGGTTCTTATCTGCCGTCATGTTTCTATGTTTCTATAGTCTTGGCTGTTTTTTTAGGCTACTAGGGATTACAGTACTTAAAGGTATGTTTGCTCTAGAGCCATTTCTCCCTCTTGAGCATCAGTGGCCAAGCTTCCCTGGAACTTGTAGGTAAATGGCTGCATAATTTTATTTTCCTGGTCACAGGCCATGGATGTGCACGGGCCAAAAATTTGGTTCAGTTCGGCACTTTGGTTCGGTTCGGCACTTCCGAAATACAGGGCTTTGGCAATTCGGCACTTTGGTTCGGTAATTCGGCACTTCGTCAGGAACAGAATTTTAATGGTGGACCTTGTTGGGCACAGGGACACAAAGTGAATAAACCAATAAAAACAGTCATACAGTGAGACACTCCCATACACAAACAATAGAATCCCTCCTCTGTGCTTGGGAGATAACTGAATCAGGAACTGTACTAATCTAGCCTAATTCTCTCCAAGCACAGAAAAACATACAATTTTATGAAACCCCAAAAAAGTACCTTAAAAACACCTAAAACCCAGTAAAAGTCCCCTTATAGCCCCGATCTGGGTGAAATAACATATCCAAAAATCACCCAAATCGGTTCAGGAATTTCCTGGAAGTCATAGTTTTGACCGACCGTGCAAAACAGTTCCAGGGAATCATGGCTAACGGTTGGTCTCTCTGTCTGGAGTACAAAAGTACATAACTCACATGAACAGAGGGGCCATAGTCACAAAGGCCCCTCCAAAAACCAGTGGCGAGGTTACTTTTGCCACAGGTTTATAGGTTAAATACTTTAGCACCTTAGGGATTAAATATTGAGTTCAATCTTTTTAACTTTTTATAACAAATTGTTTATATATTTTTGATATGTCTATATTTTTAAAGTAATTCATTTATGCATATTAATTTCTGTATATGTGTAAGACATTTTTGATAAGAAATCCTTTAATCTATCTTTTTCCTTCTTACCTCCCTTCTGTTTTATGTCATTTACGTAAACACGCTATTACGTCACACGAAAGACGTAATTGAACTCCAACCACCGGTACGAACACTACAGCCCCGGAACCCCGAAGTGCCGGCTACTGGTATTACTGAGAACTCTTAGCAAATTAATCCGAGAGTCTGGTGACATGAAGTATACTGAGACGTGTTAAAGAATAAAGTTTCTTTAATTGGATTTCGTCTGTCCATTGTTTTCCTATATACAAGGCTGGATATATATTCAACTCGCATATAGCCTGAGCAGTTCTTTAACCTGCTCCTTGTTTGTAAGTGTGATATACATATCAGGTTCTCTAAATATTATTGGTGTATAAACAATATTACACTATATGTTTTCCTATGTTTTCTCTTTCATGTTGAGTTCTACATATGTGCAAGTATAATATTTTATAAATTTTTAGATTATATTTACTTTTTTTTTTTTTATTAATACAATATTTTACCAGGAAAGCTACATCGATATTTCTCTTGTTTTCAAGTATGTCCTGGGTCCACAAAACATTGCATTGATACAATAGGGTACAATAAAATACAAAAACAATATCAACACACAATATATACAAAATGTAACATAGAACAGGTAGGAAATATATAATCAACCATGACAGGTGCATTCTGTTTTGAGGTATGTAGAGAGGGATCTCTTAAAGGACTTTAGGCTTGGGGACAATTTTAAAGTGTGCGGGAGGCCGTTCCATAATTGCGGTGCTCTGTAGGAAAAGGAGGATCGGGCTGCTTTCTTTTTGTATTGAGGTAGACTAAATAATTAGCTTTTTGCATACACACAAAAGTCTGTAATTGCACTTTAATTGAAGCACAATTGGATGTGTCATTTGCACAATAATTAATAAGCACTGTTTGCTGTCTTTTAAACACCTTTGTGACATTTTAAAAGCATGTATATTTGAAAGGTACGATTTTAAAGGCACAAGCGCACTTTGTATTTTGGTTTGATACTTTCTATTTTAGTGTTGTGTAAAGCTGGTACACTGATACGGTGCTGCTATTTAACAATCAATATATTTCTAGCGCCATATATACTTGTAATTTTTTGGTTTGTATGATATATTATTAGTTTGATCATTTAAAATATTATTTGTAAATGTAACGCCGATCACTTGTCTTTTACATTACCGGCCCCTATAAAGAGTAACTGAAGATTGTCTGTAACCTTCAACATGTGTTGGTGCATGTGATCAGCTGGAATCCAAAAAAAGAACAGTGACATCATGTATGTAACATGTCTACTGAACATGTGTAAAGGTCACCAATATCGTCATATGTATGATTTACTATCTGCTGTCTCTACGATGGTTACTAACAGCCAGACCAAGTTTGTTTCTGTTGAAATGAAGATATCATAATCATATAGAACGTATTCATCAAACCCAAACTTGTCAAGCTTGGGAACATTCACGTTTAGGTACTTTGGCCTAACATTTGCAGATGCCTTGACAATTCTCCACAGTTCCGTTCTTAGTAGATTAACTCCCAAGTAGTTCTAAAATTAAAAGAAGAATAAATTGGTGTTTCATGGTGCAATACTTTTCTTTATCCACAAAAAAACAACCCATAGAACACATAAACAAAACAGAAGTCCACAATGAATGGGTTACTTGTTTCAGTCCTTTAGTAGAATCGGACTGTGGCAGCCTGAGAGCAGGCTGGCCCTAGACATTGTGCTAGCGGAGCCAGAGAACAAAATACTGACCCTGCCACAATACCGTACTCTACCATTTTATTGTCCTCAGCCATACACCCTCAGTTAATTTCTTCTCAGTTTTCACCCCTATGCCAGCCAGGCAATCAAACAGACAGACAGACAGATTGATGGAAACAAGAAGATCATAGCAATCTGTAGCAGATTTGGATGAATAAATATGAATATATCAAATTATGCTATGAGCTGTGTAGATCACAAATACGTGATTCAAAGGTAATCCATCGTTGTGATTAAGCGTTAAAGGGAACATTACTAAACTGCAGAACCTGCACGAGACACCCCACCCATATCACAGGTTCCTTATTCTTTTATTTTTTTTTTCAAAGAAAAAGAGAAATAAGTTAATGTGAGAATATAAATTCTGACCAGTTCCAATCAGACCAGCTAAACACTATTAGAAGGGCTTGACACCCTTATCTAAAAATAAAAAAGAAGAAATTACTGGCCATGCATTTGCTATGATAGTATTTATCGGCCCTCACTGGAATTCATACTTCTGTTGTAAAGACCAGTTGGCAAAAGGCAATTCAGCAACATGTGTTCTCAATGACTTCTACATTTTCCAGTAGCTAGGACGTGATAGCATTTTTAAGTGATGTTTTTCATTTCCGTTTAACCACACTAATAAAACTAAACCCAATATTTCCATTTGTGTCAGTAGAAAATGAATACATCTTTGGGCTGGCTACTCAAATTAAAGTTTGACTTTTTTTTTTCTTCCCTGTCTCACATACACCCGCTGCTCAACAGCTACTATAGAAAAATACTTACTATTATAGTTCTTTTAGATTCTAGTTTTTGTTTTTTGTTTTTAATATAACACATAGATTAATCACTAAGCTAGATTTTCTAAGCATGAAAGAAAATGAGGTCTCGGAGATAGCAAGCCTAAGTTTGATCTATGTCTCATCTTATATCACACTGGGATACTTGGACTCTCTCGGGTAAAAGTCAGTGGTCAGTTGATGAACTCAGAGTACAGTAGCTGCTGTCTTTGGTCAGGCATGTTGGTTAGTCTTTGCAAAAACAAGGGTCATTTGCCACCGTGAAATAGTTTTAAGTGATTATATCAGTCCTTGCAAAGGAAATCGAAGTAACCCCACCCTACATCATACAAGGACATACAAGAACAAAGACACACTTTATTTGGAACAAGAGGGCGTGCATGGAGGATAATGGAGACCTTAATTGGTCTTTCAGCCAAATTTACTAATACTAAGTAAAGGTTACTTAGTATTAGTAAATTATGCCCCTACTCGCTATACCGCGAGTAGGGGCATGTCTGGTAAACAGTGAGCAGCCTGTGGCAAGTCACTGTAAAAAAAACTAAAAAGTGTCCGCCCTCCCGAGCCCCCACCTGTGCTGCGCGAGTGGGGGCTTCTAACCTGAAAGGGGAACCTATTGTCCTCCCCCGGCCTCCACCCCTGAACGGCGGGTGGGGGCCCTAAAGTAAAACAATGGGGGGGGACCTATTGTCCACTCCCCCAGCCCCCATTCCTGAGCGGCAGATGGGGGCCCTAAATTAGAATAAGGGGGGACATATTGTCCTCTCCCCGGCCCCCACCCCTGAGCGGCGGGTGGGGGCCCTAAATTAGAATAAGGGGGGACATATTGTCCTCCCCCCGGCCCCCACCCCTGAGCAGCGGGTGGGGGCCCTATTGTCCTTCCCCCTCGGACCCCACCCCTAAGCGGCGGGTGGGGGCACAAAATTAGAATAAGGGGGGACCTTTTGTCCTCGCCCCCACCCCATTAGCGGCGGGTGGGGGCCCTAAATTAGAATAAGGGGGGGACCTTTTATCCTCCCCCCGGCCCCCACCACTGAGTGGTGGGTGGGGGCCCTAACTTAGAATAAGGTTAGTTTGTTGCCCGCTCACTATTATGTGGGGGAGAGGGGTTGGTAGGGTATTTGTTTATTGGGGAGGTTAACTAGGGACTTATCATTTAGGGCTCCCACCAACCTCAAATGTAGGGACAGGAGGGACAATTTAACCCGCTTATTATTATTACCATTTATATAGCGCCAACAGCTTCTGTAGCGCTTTACAATATTATAAGAGGGGGGATTTAACTATAAATAGGGCAGTTAGGGTGTGGGCGTGGGGGGTGGGATTTAAGAAGTAGCAGAGTATCTAAATGGACAAAAAATAAATAAATTTGTCTTTGGTAATTTCTATTAATTTATTTGTCTTTCTGACAAATGGATGAATAGCCAACATTCGGACAATAATTAATGCCCAAGTGTACAACTGGGCATGTGTGCAAATTTCTAAGTGCAATCTAGGTTGGTGAAATAGAGGACCTAGGGCCATTTGATGGTGACTAGTGGGACAATTTTATGTAGAAAAGTCAATGGCGGGTGGTTAAAATACAACAACAAAAAACCCCACAGATGCAGCTATGACAGTGCCGCTTTAAAGCAAAGTGGGAATTCTATGAGTGGTATGAGATTGATTATTTCCTACCATAAAATCTGATCTTTCCCACTAGTGTACCTACTCAGTCTCTTGCTTTGGCAGAATGAATGCAATCTAACAAGCGCTACGGAATCTGTTGGCGCTATATAAACGGCAATAATAATAATCTCTATGAATATTCTTCCAAGAATTAATAAAAAAAATAAAAATAACATGTAACGGACCCCCTATACTCCAGCTGAGTATGTCCGTTATGAAGTTCCCAAGTGAAAAGTTATTATAGCTCCAAAGTCCCCAAACATCAGCCTAGACTTGTAGGGGTAAAACGAATCTGTCTAATCAAGGCTCAATGGCCCACTTTTATACAGTACAGAGACACAGCAAACACTCCCATGACACTCCCACAAAATGTCCCCAAATTACAGTGTCACTATTCCTAGGCAATAATTACACAAAATATGAAAATACATAAAAACACATATTAAAAACATTGGAACCACCACAAATAATTACATCCCTGGATGGCTGGGATCTGAGTGCCCATGTTGTCCAAATAGCGCTCAGATCCCACAAACACAGCCGAATCACCACCGGGGTTTGGACCGACCGCATTTAGGAGACGTATGCCGAAAACAGTTCCAGAATTTTTGTGCTAGTGGTCGGTCCATTTCGGGAGTTCCATGCAAATAAACTGTTGAACGGTTCCCCTAGCTCATAGGTAGCATATGTTAGTCTTGTCCATACGAACAAACCTACCGAACAGCACTCTTCTGGCTTGTCGCGGAAAGAAGCAGGCGTTTGCGTGGTTTCACTGATGTTCATGCGGTTGAGTGGCCGATTTAGAGTTCCAGAAACTTAACGACCAAGTTGCGCTGCCTGCGTTCGTGCAACAAGATGGCCGCTGTTTTTTCCACCATGTTGCGTTCAGTTATACGAACGGCAGCCACACAGAGAGAGCACTTAATTCTGCAGTTTCTTTGTACTTAATGAGCCAGGGGGGTGGTCTGTGTTCGGTAGTTTATTATACCAAATATATGGGAAGCATAATTGAACTCTAGGAACTTGTCAGCGAACTGAGGAAGAGAACAGCTCCGGGGTAGGCAAAATAGTGGGTTTTGTCACAATCCAATCACCAACAATAAAACCTACTCTATAAATCTAGAAATGGATCAAACTTAAAAAAATAAAAATAAGTACCCCATCAGGTTTCTTACTGCCTATTACATATAACACAGAGTTAATTTCTAGTAAAGAAAAATTTGCTTGTTATTTCTCTCAATCTATATCTGAAAATCTCAATATCACACTGGGAGATATTATAAATCTGGTAACAGGTGAATTACTTCCAAAAGAAACCATTCTCAGTTCAAACAGGCAGCTCGCTTTTACTTGTGTGCTCATAGAGCAGCGTTTCCCCAATTCGTGTTCACACAAATGTGGTTCCGCCAAAATTTCGGAAAACAAAATGGCTGCGGACAGCGAGGGAGCAGTAGGCAGTGATCTCCCTGTTCAGCTCCCTCACGTGCACAGCAGTGGTGCTGGAGCCGGAATATGACGTCACTCCGGCTTCGGCATCACTAAGAGGTGTGCGAGGGATCTGAGCAGGAAGATCACTGCTTCCTCGCCGCTCGCATGCCAGCCGCTCAGCAGACCCACTGGACCCCAGGCACCGCACGCCAGCCTCTCCGCAGCCCTACTGGACCCCAGGGACCACACGCTCAGCCCAGCAGTCCCACTGGACCACAGGGACATAGAGACATCCAAAGGTAGGGAGGCTGGGTGGAGTAAAATTTTCCACAAGAAAAATTAATTGGGAACCCTGTCAGAGAATAGTACCCACTCCGCTTTCTAAAATCAGAGTATTTAGAATTACCTTACTTTTGCAGATTATGGGAACTGGATCCAGGACTAGCCTTGGAACATCATTAATAGAACAGAGGGTCAGGAGGGGGGCTGAGGGAGGTGGAGTTGGCAGGTGAGAAGAGAGAGAGAGAAATGTCCATGTAATGTACTTGTACATATTGTTTAAATTTGTGTTATTTGTGCAGAATGCAAGGATATTATCACATATTCAGCATTTTGACACTCACAGTTG